GAAATTTCCACTTTAAATATTCAAGATGATTTTTTAAATAGGTTGTTTAACCTTTAAAACCACAACTGGACAGATAAAGGTAATTAGAAATGGCAATGTAAATAGATTTAAATCTCTCAGATGTTCTCCAAAATGTAACATACTCTGCTCTTACCCAGTTTCCCTCAGGATGTTGAATAGTTCAACCATTTATCATGACACATCATTTAATGCATTTGCACATCACAAGATATATTTCTGCCATTCCAATTAGTCTCCCACTATGTCACAGAAGCTATAATATTAATCATAAGAGCAACCACAGTTAAATTGAAATAGTGTACATGAAATACAAAATTATAAATGGAAAGACTCTTTTTCAAGTCCTAGCTAAGCCACTTAGTAGTGGTGTGACTTTAGGTAAGTCCCTTAACCCTCTTTCCCCAGCTGTTGTAAAAACTGAAATAATCATGAAAGCACTTGGTAAGCTGAAAGCATTATACAAATAGAAGGGAATATGATTATTATAATTGCATATTTAACAGTTTAGAAGTTGATGGCCCAGAGCATAGGAAGAATAATAATTGAAATCTAAATCAACATATGACATACATCCACAGAGGCCAGGTGACAATCGCTTCCTTGGAAGAAGTGTTGCTAACATGGCCAATGAGACAAACCACAGTCTCTCCTCAAGTGATTAATCACCTACCCATTAACTAGATAAGTTCCTTAGTAAATATAAGCCCAATAGAATTGCACTATGGCTAAAGACACCATTAATGCAGGTGGGAAATAAAATACAGCAAAACTAAAAATCATATTTTCTTTATACCCTATTACAAACAATAGTTATTTGTTAATTTGAAACAGATCCTTGATTACTGGTGGTAATGGATGAAAGTTTTAGGAAAACCCTGGATCAGCCAAGAAATGTAGTAAATGTAGATTCAAATTCTTAAAGACTGTTAATCACAACAAAAAGCCTACATAAAAGAAATGCAAATATTCTTGAATTCAGTGTCCTATTTTTAAGCCTGGAAATAAAAAACTCAAAGATGTTGGAAGAGTTCTCTGTTGCTGGAATAAACTGCTAGGAAGTGACATTTTACAAAGATCACAGCGGTATAACAGTTGTAGGTTAATTCAAATGTCAATTAAGGTTTTGAGCCATCACTAATTTCTAGAACCCAAAAAGCACATGCCTAGCATAGTTAAAAAGATACTCAAAAATTTTATATAAAAATGTCAAATAAATTACTTAATCCTCAAAAAACTCAATACTCGAGTTCCAGTATAGATGGCAGAGTAGGTAAATGCTGGGCTAGCCTCCTCTCATGACCACATCAACATTACAACTAAACTACAGAACTTTAATTGAGAACCACCTGAAGCCTAGCTGAACAGAAGTCCTACCTCTAAGGACATACAGAAGAAGCCACCTCAAGACTGGTAGGAGGGGCAGAGACATGGAACAGGCTGGTCCCACACCCGCGTGTGACCATTAAATATCGGGAAGGGTATCTCGGCTGTGGAGGTCCTCCATCTGAGTGAATGGTCCCAGCCCCACATCAGGCTCCCCAGCCCAGGGTTCCAGTGCCTGAAATAGAAGTCCCCATAACTTCTGGCTATGAGAAACAGCTGAGATTGTGGCTGAATGAGACAAGGGTGGCTGCAGGCCCAGGCACTCCTCTTAAAGGGCCCGCACATGGACTTACTCACCAATGGACTCACTCACTCTGAGCTCCAGCACTGGGGCAGCAGCTTGAAAGGCACAGGGACATACGGGGATGAACTGGGTTGTCTGACTTCGGGGTGAAGGCTGGAGGGTCAACTTCCTTCCAGAAAGTGTTGAGCCCTCCCCCCACCCAGCCTGAACAGGTGGGAATCATATTGGAATCTCCATCAACCTGGCCAACACCATTCACACTGCCCTATTCATTCTGAGACCCCACCCCACCTAACTTACAGGCCCTTAGAAGCTGCTTCCAGTGGCTTTTCCATACAAATGGCCATCATGGCTCATGCTGCACTCTCCTAAAATCTCTCAAAGATTGACAAACCCCAAACAAGCACCATCTGGCAGCAATGTGCCCCATACATCTGAATGACCAGCCCTATGCCCAGCACTAGTGGCAGCCAGCCTTGGTTAGCAGCTTACCCTCTTCCAGGCACCTCCAAGCACAGCACAAGTGGCAACCATCTGCAGATCACTTTGTAGCTCATAGCAGGTGGCCCCAGGCTGGGCACAGGCAGCGGCTAACCTTGGCCTGCACCGGAGCCCTTCCAGGAGGCCCCAAAACAAACACACCTGGTGGCCAGCTTCAGACTACACCAGAGCACCACCCAACCACCTCCACAAATGACACACCCAAAGGACAGACTCGGCAAATACCAGAGCCCCGCTAAAGTTAAACCTGCTTTGCAGGGTCAGCCTCTGCACAACACTTCCTCCACTGCAGCCATGGCCAGTCCTCACAACAAATCAGCCGGAGGGTCAATCCTACTCACTGACGTGACAACAGCAATCAAGGCTCAACTATAATAGGGGGCACACACAACTCACATGAGGGACACACCTGCAGCACCCAGCTCAGGTGACCAGGGACACGGCACCACAGGACACTGGGCCCACAGGACACCTACTGCATAAGGCCACTTCTGATATAAGATCAGAAGACACAGCAGCCCTACATAATATATAGAAACAAACACAGGGAGGCAGCCAAAATGGGGAGACAAAGAAACATGTCCCAAATACAAGAACAGAACAAAGCTCCAGAAAAAATAACTAAACAAAATGGAGACAAGTAATCTACCAGATAGAGAGTTCCAAACAGTTGTTATAAAGATGTTCAATGATCTCAGTGAGAACTTCAACAAAGAGATAGGAAACATAAAAATGAAGATATGAAATATAAAAAAGAACCAGTCTGAAATAAAGAATAATATAACTGAAATGAAGAATACACTATAAAGAATCAACAGCTTTGATGAAGCAGAGGGTCAAATCAGCAATTTAGAAGATAAGATGGCAGAAAACACCCAATCGGAAGAGTAAAAAGAAAAATATTTTTTAAATGATAGTTTAAGGGGCCTCTGGGATAACATTAAGTGTACCAAAATTCACATCACAGGGGTACCAGAAGGAGAAGACAGCAAGGAATTGAAAACTTATTTGAAGAAATAATGACTGCAAACTTCCCTAACCTGATGAAGAAAATAGACATACAAACCCAGGAAGAGCAGAAGTCTCAAACAAAATGAACCCAAAGAAACCTACAACAAGACACGTCATAATTAAAATGCCAAAGGTTAAAGACAAAGAGAGGCTCTTAAAAGCAGTAATAGAAAAGCAGTTAGTTACCTACAAGGGAGCTCCCATAAGACTGTCAGCTGATTTCTCAACAGAAACTTTGAGAAGAGACTGGCACAAAATTTTCAAAGTGATGAAAAGCAAGGACTCACAAGCAAGATTATTCTTTCCATCAAAGCTATCATTTAGAATCAAAGAACAGAAAAAAGACCTACCCAGACAAAACAAAAAAACCAAAAACAAAACCTAAAGGAGCTCATCACCACTAAACCAGTATTACAAGCAATGTTAAAGAGACTTCTTTAAGAAGAAGAGGAAAAAAAAGATAAAAAATATTAATAATAAAATGGCAATAGCTACAGATTTGTCAACAATTACTTGAAATGTAAATGGATTAAATATTCCCATCAAAAGACATAGAAGGGCTAAACGGAAAAGAAAACAAGATCCTTACATATGCTGCCTACAAGAGACTCACTTCCAATCGAAAGATGCATAGAAACTGAAAGTAAAGGGATGGAAAAAGATATTTCACAAAGGAACAAAGAAAAAAAACTGTCATAGCAATACTTATGTCAGACAAAATAGACTTCAAAACAAAGGCTTTATCAAGAGACAAAGACATTCCCAGTAATCCCAATTCAGGATATTTATCCAAAGAAACCCAAACGCTACTTCGAGGGGAAGTGTGCATCCCTATCTTCATTGGCTATTAACAATAGCCAAGATGTGGAGGTAGCCTGGGTGTCTGTCGATGGAAGACTGGATAAAGAGGAGGCGGTACATATATACAATGGAATATTGTTCAGCCATGGTAGGGAATAGGTTCTCATCATCTGCAACAACATGAATGGACCTGGAGGGTATTGTGCTGAGTGGAGTAAGTCACAGAAAGACAAATGCCATATGCTTTCACTTATATATGGAATGTAAAGAACAAAATAAAGAAACAAACTCATAGATACAGAGAACATTTTAATAGTTGCCAGATGGGAGGGGGGTTGGGGTGGGTGAAAAGGGGAAGGGATTAAGAAGTACAAATTGGTAGTTACAAAATAGGAAATGAGACATAAAGTATAGCATACGGAATATAGTAAATACTATTTTAATAACTATATATGGTATCAGATGGGTAGTAGATTTATTCAGGTGATCACATTGTAAGGTATGTAAATGTCTAATCACTCTGTTGTACACCTGAAACTAATACAATATTTTATGTCAACTGTGATTGAAAAATAAAAATATATTTTTTTAAAAATTCAATACTCGGGCCGGCCGAGTGGCGCGATGGTTGGGAGCTGGCTTGGGACGCCAGAGGGCCCCGGTTCGGATCCCGCATGTGAGGGCTAGTGACACTGCCCTCCGCAGCTGGGATGCTGAACAACAGCTCAACCTGGAGCTGGGCTGCCGTGGGTCGCCGGCAACGGCGTAGGCTGCAGCCCCTGCTGCACTGGGTTGCCATGGGCTGCTGTGTGTGGCCAGCGGCCGGCGTGGGCGGCCAGCAGCCACAGTGGGCGGCCGTCCAGAGGCCGACGACTGTTCTGCCTCGCCCGGGAAGAGTGCAATGATGGTGCCAACTTGGGCCAGTAGGGCGGCGTCCTCCACAACTAGACTGAAGAACAAAAACGACGGCAACTTGTCTGTTCCCATTCCCCAATTCCCCAATAAAAATCTTAAAAAAAAAAAAAAATTCAATACTCACAGATAATGATCAGGATCAAATTTGGTGAGCTCAGCAGCCAGGCGTTTCTGCCTTCGTTCAGCTGCAGGAGTAAAATCTGGATCCTTAATGTCAATAACATCACTGAATTCATCCTAAGAACACCAAGAAAGAATAATTGCTATCTCTTACTTTAACACTGAAAAATCTAATTTTGCACAAAATGCCACAACACAGGAAGAATCTAATTGATCAGTAAGCCATGACACTAATTGTGACATCTAGATTCAAGTCCAGCAAATGTTTGTTAAATACCTACTACTTGCCAGGCCCTGTTGGAAGTTTTCACATGAATTATCTCATTTAATCCTTACAAGAAACTTTTTAAGCTACATTAAGGCTATAAAAGTCTAATATAAAAAACAGAATAGAATAAAGCCTTGCAAGCAAACAGGAACATTTATTTCTCCATCATTTCCCATTTACTCCTGGAGATTTGAAAGTTATTAAAGGCATGTCAAAGTAACTTTCTAGACCCAAGACGGAGTTCCTACTCTGGGTGCCAGGTAAGCAATCCAAAACTTAGATAACTTTCGTGTCCCTCTAAGTGCTCTGCTTGACCGGAAATGCAGTCTATCCAGTCAGCCAATCCCCAAATGTCAAGCGAATTTTAGATCCTATACTTAATTCCTTATTCCTTCTCACCCATAATAAGGTTGACTATGTGGCTCCAGCCAATCAGATATTTTCTAGTTTTCTCTTCCTTGTTCTTTATTCTTTATCCTATAAAAGCTTTCTGACTTCTGCCCCATTTTCCAGTTCTCTTCTGTTCCCTTCATGAAGTGTCCAAGTTTGTTTGTATCACCTAAATTGTCTTCTTTAATCATTTTTTAACAGACAAAATGGTTTGAATATCAGATATCTACACATAGACTTTTCTTTTGTTTCTTCCTATGGTCTAGCTCAGCTAGTCTCAAGGAGCCCTATATAAAATTTATACACATAACTGTGTAAATTCTACTTTATGAGCAGATTTAAGAATTTTTAAGGACAATTTTGAAGTATATGACTTTCCATTTAAAAATTAAACATAATTTAAAAATCTAATCCTAAGTAATATTCAACTTTACTGTAATCATCTTCACTTAATGTATACATATTGATATGTAGAAAGCATGTATATTAGGAAAACTGCCTAAGATACCATTATATGGTCTTTTTTCTTGTGATCAGAATTATGCAGTAGAGAAACCTATACAAAGAAAATATTCCTAAAACTATACTTTTTTTCTTTCTTTAACCTCACATACTTACTACCAAACCCAAGTGAGAAGTACAGAAACTAGAAGAAGCTTAAAGAATATTAGCAGAAAAGAAATCAAGGGAAAGAACTTAACGGAGAGCTGTGCAGGCAAACTATTAATATAGACTTGTAAATGGAATGACAGGTTGATGCCTAATAATCAGGCCTAAAGTCCACTGCTTTAATGTGAAAACCCTACAACGAAGTGAGCTATACGGAATTAACCAGGGAAAGGCTAGGATAAAGACTCCCCACACAATCAGAATTTCTGCATAAAAAAAAAAAAATTCTCTCATCCTTACCACAATTCATTTAGCTTAAGTAGTATCAACAACATTTAATCTAAGCACATTCTAATACAATGAAAGGGCCCAGAGATCTTTTTGGAAGTCACATCCAGAACATCTTAATACTTCTAAACAAACATTCTGGGCAAAAACCAGATCACTGGCTTTCCCCAAACTTATAAAAATGTGTATTCCAAAAGTTCTTTTGCAATTTACTTTTTGGGGACTTAGAATGTATCTTCCTATAGAAATACTATTATAAATAGTAGATTCTCACAGGGGCGATCCATAAGTTTATTCAATCCATAATAAACTTCAAATAGAGTACTCACAACACAAACTATTTAACAAGTGCTCAGCAATGTTTCTATGGGAAAATACTTCCAGAGTTCCAGTTTAATCCACCAGAAACACCTCTTCCCCAAGTAGTGCAACCTAGACTCTTCCTGTCTTCCCAGCCTGCCTCAACCTGCTGGAAATGAGTTCCTCCAGCCAGAGCTGGAAAGGGTGCAGAGGTAGATAAGTTATACTGCACCAGCAGTCTTACCTCAGCTAGATGAATACTATGAGAGCCATTTCCTGCCTGTGAACCCCAAGTCCCTCTCCCCAGCAGCTGTGAGTCTGTGTCACCCACTTTCTTTCCTTCTAGCCCCAAGGTGTCTCCTGCACCTGCGCGTACACTCACACATATTCCCCCCCCCTCTCTCTCTTTTTCTCTCTCTCTCTCCTGAAAGCAGCCTGATGAAGTAAAAAATGTGTGACTTTGGAATAGATAAACATAAATTTATTCATTTTTTAAATTTTTTTAAAGTATAGTGGTATATATTATATTAGTTTCAGGTGTACAATATAGCAATTCAACATTTTTATACCTTACAATGTGATCACCACACTAATTCTAGTAGTCATCTGTCACTGTGCAAACTTATCACAATTATTATTGACTATATTCCCCTTCCCCTTTTCATCCATCCCCCACACCTCTGGTAACCATCCCTTTGGTCTCTGTTTCTATGAGTCAGACAGAGAATGACAAATACTGACCATATGGTTTCATTTATATGTGGAATCTAAAAAAACAACAACAACAAAACAAAACAGACAAACCTGAATTTAACACCTAGGTCCACTCTAATTATACAATCTCTCTGAACCTCAGCTTCCTTACTATAAAAATGTGTCTAGTGACTCCACCATCATAGGGCCAGGTTTAGTTTCTTCTTGTTGCTATAACAAATTACCACAAACTTAGTGGCTTGACACAACCCACATTTTTTTTTTCTGACAGTTCTGGAGGTCAGATGTCCAAATTCTGGTTCCTTCTGGAGGTTCCTGGGAAGAATTTGTTTCTTTGCCTTCTCCATGTTTGTGGCTGGCTGTCCTCATTCCTTGGCTCATCGTCCCACATCACAATGCCTTTCGTCCCTTGGCTTCCATCATCACGTGCACTTTTCTTTTCTCACTTTGACTCTCTTACCTCCCTCTTATAAGAACCATGAGATTAGATGGGGCTCATTTGAGAATCCAGGCTAATCACCCCATCTAAAGACCCTTAACTTAATCACATCTGAAAAGTCCCTTTTGCCATATAAGGTAACATATTCACAAATTCCTGGGATTAGCAAAGGGACATTTTGTGGGGTGGGGAGGGGATCATTCTGTCTGCCACAAGGTGTTGTGTGGGTTAAAAGAAATTGAGTGCAGGGCTTGATACATTCAATAATGTCAGTTTCCTTTCTCTCCACCTTTTTATTCCACCAGTTCCCTGTCACTCACTGACTTCCTACTGAGAGTGCACATCCTCCCCTCCTGTTCAGTCTCCTCACTTGCTAGAGGCAATTAAAAAAGGGGGGGATTAAAATGTCCCACTTCATTATTTCATCTGGACCAGATATAAGGTCATAAATGGGGTGTAATCTAGGAGTCTGTAAATAACTCTACATTTCACAGGATAAATGAAGTAACCCCAGGCATTTTAAAACACTAATTGCCTGCCTTGTTCCTTTGTTGCTTTCAGTTTCATATCCCATGTTATCAGTGAAATCATATGGTTCTCAACTTTTTTTTTTAAGATTTTTATTGGGGAATTGGGGGATGGGAGCAGTGCTGGGGAATTGGGGGAAGGGGAACAGACAAGTTGCCGTCCTCCTGCTCCTCAGTCTAGCCGTGGAGGACGCTGTCCCACTGGCCCAAGTTGGCACCATCATTGCGCTCTTCCCGGGCGAGGCAGATCAGTCGCCGGCTTCTGGACGGCTGCTCACTGCAGCTGCTGGCCGCTCACGCTGGCTGCTGGCCACACACATGGTAGCCCATGGCAACCCACCGCAGTAGGGGCTGCAGTCCATGCCGTCGCTGGCGACCCAAGGCAACCCAGCTCCAGGCTGAGCTGTTGTTCAGCATCTCAGCTCTAGAGGGCAGCGTCACCGGCCCTCACATGCAGGATCCGAACCGGGGCCCTCTGGCGTCCCAAGCCAGCTCCCAACCAACACGCCACTCAGCCGGCCCTGGTTCTCAACTTTTTCTGTCTGACTTATTTCACTTAGCATACATAACTTTACTAACATTTTCACCCCAATAAATTTTAATTAAAAGCAAAAAAAAATCACTAATTGCACCGAGAATAAACTCAGACTCTTATCACAGCTCAAAGCTCTGTATAATCCAGCCCCTGCTTTGTTCTTCAGCTTCATCTCCTACCTTCTCTTTCCCGCTCAAACATGCTTATGCCACACACCAGACTTCTTTCCATTTCTGGAACTCTGAGCCTTTGTACCAGTATAAAAATACAGACATGGTCCCTGCTCTCATGGGGATGAGAGTTAAGGTAGGAAAGCAGTTATCCTTCCTGTCTCCTCTGCTTCCTCGTTGCCTGCAGACTGGGCCTCTACACACAGCTATGCAACTTGCACCCACAGGACGCAAGCGTCCGTGGCAGTGCAAGCCCATCCAGGCTTGTCCTGTGCACAAGCATATGCAGTGACCCTGTTCAAACTCGACCCTCAAGAGAAACTGGAACAAACCAAAAAGCAGAGTTAGCTTGGGGTAGAGAAATCTAAGGCATCAATCAACCAAAGCAAAGGAAGAAAAGAGGATGAGAAATGTTCAACTACAGCAAGACAAAAGTGATTAAAAAAAAAAAAAGCATTGCCATGACCACTGTTATTAAAGGTATTTAAAGATGGACATTGCCAAGAAAAGGTCATGTAGGATTTAAACGAGGCTTATGTGAGTTTCAGCATAGCTAAAGCAGAGACTATCAAGAGAGAAAATGAAGAACTGTGCAAATCTGGGCAGTGGGTCTCCTGAAAACAATGGTATAGCTGAGGGAAGGAAAGGAGAAGCAGCCAGAGTCCAGCAGCTGCTGGCAGCAGAGTCCCAGCAACTTGTAGGCCTGGCACCCAGATCATTGCTGCTGACAGCCACCTCTGACAGAAGCTGTCATGAAGCCCTGACTTTAAGCTGCCAGGGCAGGTTTCCAAAGGCACCCTGGTGGCTGACAGCAATTACAAAAAGGAAGAAAATAAGGACATGTGTGTGGGGGCAAAAGGAGGGATGTTGAAACAGAATTTGTTTCAGCAAAAATATGTTTATTTTCTTCTCATTATCAGTATAAAATAGAAAAGTTCACATGCAAACCCTGTATAAATGGTTGGAGGAAAAAAACATGAAAGACTATACTAATCCCTCTAAAAAGGGTTAAATTATTCAATTAAGAGAACATGCCTGGGTATTCAAATTATGGATGATGTTTAACTTTGCTACATTTTTATAATGACTACATATTGCTTTTATCAGCAGAGAAAATATAGCTATTTTTCATTTAAGGGGGGAAAGAGACTTTAAAAATACTAGTAGAATTAGTAGTCAACAGAACTTTAGATATTTTCTCACCCAAAGGCAGTGACAGAGAAACTCTAAACTGAAGAGAAAACACTACTTGAAAAAATGGTGATGTTTCTTAAATACATCATTTTAAATTAGAAGAGATGTTCTCAAAGCTATTATTTATGCAGTAACCGTTTCAGTTTCTTTTAGCTATTTCAGTCATAGGAAAAGGGTCATGTTGCTAATCTTACATAATCACTCAGTTCTTAACCACATGGTGTGAATGTCACAAATAGAGCATCTGTAAAGGCAAAAGGACTCAGCAAGGAATAACAATTATGCTAGATTTTTGTGGCACATCTATCTTAATACCTCATAGATGGCATCCTTTAATTTTTGGCATCTTGGTTCTCACAAGTTTCGAAAGTTCTGATGTTTCTTAATTGTCATGAAGACACCGAAGTCCTCAAATCTAATTCATGTAAGAAAACACAGTATTCTTTAAAGACTAGATTTGTGTATTGGTGAGTCCACTGGTAAAACATGCACACAGAAGAGCAGCGATGCCAGTATGGAAGAGCAACATGCAGTCAACACACACTGAGTCCAGCACAGTCCTGGCCCAGGGACACACCCAGCACCTGTCAGAGGCTGCTATGCAGACATGGGTGGTACACGTGTTACCCAGCCCCCTTGAGAAGGTGAACTTCAGGACTCATGCTTTAAAGGGTTTAGAAAAGTAATATGGAATGTAAACCTACTGCATTTTATTTATCCCCTAAGAGGTCTGGCCAGCACCCACAGTCAATACACTACTATTTCCACAGCAGAATTTGTGGGTGTGCACATACTAAATGGGGGGGAAAAGCTATTAAAAGACTCACATCAGTTCATATCAGGTTATGCCACCAAACTAAACATAAAAACTTTTCATTTCAGAACTTTTTGTGATCCCAGTATTATACACGTAGGGCTATAAGCCTTACTACTAGCGGTATTACTGTTTATAGTACCCTTGGAGCTTTGTCACACGCACAGCTTTTGTTTCCTACATTGAGGAAAATATGCATTCAAATTGTTTAGAAAAGCAATACTCATTCCGTTAAAACAAAGAACAATTTCATGATTTTAGACAAGCTAAACGCTCGGGAATCATAAGCATTAAATTCAATGGTTCATTTCTGACGGGTAAACAGAGGCATGCAATCAGGAAAGGATACACAGGGCTATAACAGTGCTGGTAATGTTTTCGTTTTTAAGCTGTGTGATAGGTATCTAGGGATTCGGTACATTAGTTAACACAGTCAAAAAGATACAAAGAGTATTTATAATAACTTTTTTCTTAAGTCAACCCAAATTACTTATTCAGTAAACATTTTCAACTTCTGATCTAACAGAGGGTTGGCCCACACTCACAATATGGCACCACTCCATCTTTTCAGCAACCTGTCAGAAATCTTGCTAAGGATCTTCCCTCAACAGTAGCAGCTATTAAGAAACCAAGTTCCTGTCCTCAGGAAGCACGTTCAATCCGAATGAACAGCCTGCACTTAACCTGAGTGACTTTTACATCCATTCATTGATAGCTTTAGATGGGCAAGCCCAAAACAGACTGATGACAAACTAGCTCTCAGCCACACAACTAAGGTCCATTGGTTATAGTTTCCACTGTAGACAAAACTGACTCTATTCCTTTTTTTTTAAATTAAAATGTAATGGGTGACAATGGTTAGTAAAGTTACATAGGTTTCAAGCGTACAACTCTGTAATACATCATCTATATATCACATTGTGTGTTCACCACCCAGAGAAACTGACTCTATTCTTATTACCTCAGAGATGATCAGGGAATGTGATTAGGGAGGGAGATTACAGAGAAATCATAATTCAGCAGAAAAGTTTCTCAGGTTTTTTCATTTTTCTTTTCTTTTCTTTTTTTTTAAAGATTTTATTGGGGAATTGGGGAAGGGGAACAGCCAAATTGTTGTCTTTCAGTCTTACTTGTGGAGGGTGCAGCTAGCTCACCTCCAAGTCCAGTCACCATCCGGCTGGCCGTAGGCAGCTCACGGCTGCTCAGCTCAAGGTGCCGTGTTCAATCCTAGTTGTGGGTGGGCATAGCCCACCATCCCATGCAGGAGTCAAACTGGCAACCTTGTTGTTAGGAGCAGGTGTTCTCACCAGCTGAGCCATCCTGCCACCTGTTGGCAGCTCAGCACGGGTGCAGCTCACTGGCCCATGTGGGAATCGAACTGGAGACCCTGTTGCTCAGAGCTCCCGCTCTTAACCAACTGAGCCACTCGGCCGGCCTGTCTCAGGTTTTTGAAGGAAATATTTCATCAGCATTATTTGCTCCTAAGTAAATACCAATTTGTTCCCTTTAAGGAATCTTGAGAGCATTTTATATTTTTTCAAAGGCAGAGGTCTTTCTAGCATCTTATAATTGTTTTCAAAGAGTTTACACAATGTAGCATCTCCTTAAATCTCCTAAATGGCTTTATAAAGTAGGCAAGCAATCTCTACTTTACAAAGAGGAGATGAAACTTGTTTGTGGTCAAATAATTGGCCTGGGATCCCAAATCTAAACAGAAGTAGAAGTGGGACTACAACATAAGTCATCTACATTTACTTGGTAGACTCAAATGTCTTTACTATAATAAACCACATTCTAAAAATTAACATCCTCTGCCCAGACAGGGATGAAGTAAAAACAAAACAAAAAACAGTTCATCACTGTTTCTTTCATTTAAAAACAATTAAGGGCCAGCCGAGTGGCGCATTGGTTAAGAGCTGGCTTGGGATGCCAGAGGGCCCCGGTTCGGATCCCACATATGAGGGCCAGTGACACTGCCCTCTACAGCTAAGATGCTGAACAACAGCTCGACCTGGTGCTGGGCTGCCGTGAGTCGCCAGCGACGGCAGATGGGTTCCCATGGGCTACCGTGTGTAGCCAGCAGCCAGCGTGAGTGGCCAGCAGCCACTGTGAGCGGCCATCCAGAAGCCGGAGACTGATCTGCCTCACCCGGGAAGAGCGCAATGATGGTGCCAACTTGGGCCAGTGAAGCAACTTCCTCCACAACTAGACTGAAGAACAAAAGGATAGCAACTTGTCTGTTCCCCTTCCCCCAATTCCCCAATAAAAATCTTTAAAAAAAAAAAAAAATTAAGACCTCAAGTTAGTGGTTCACCAACACTTTCATCACATAACATTCCAGAGATACATTTTCTATAAAACAACATATAAGTATAAAACAATTCAAAATCTCTCCTCTCCATTTCATTCATTTCAATCTCCCTATATACGCTAAAATGAAGTAGACTTTCCTGCATTGTTTGAGGAAGAGAAAGTGATGTCATTCCTTTTCAGCCTAACTGACATATAATAGGGTTTTAACAAGAGATTACAGTCAATCTCCATCAAGAGTAAACAGACAAAAGTGCCCACTGTACACCAAAAACTAAACAATTTGATTAAACAACACAAACTCATTCTCACCAAGAACATTGTCTCATTTAACTATAAAACAGAAGAGATATCAGACCATAATTACACAATTTTCATTTTTCAGAAGTGTAAAACACAAAGCTTTCCAGGTAATATGAGAGGGGGGGTTCCATTTTGTATTTTAGAAACCTTATGTCTAGAATACAGAATAGAGAAAAAAGAAAGTGGAGAAAGAAGAAAGTAACAGAATGCCTTCCATCAGTAAGCGCAGGAACACTAGAGAGAACAGCCAATGCCACAGACGGGCGTGAACATCCATGCAATAAATGCATACAAGGAGATGTGCTTTGTGCTCAACATGTCACCTCTACACGGTGCACAGAAACTCCCAGTATGAGTAGAACTGAAATTAAAATATCCACATGGTAAAATCTGACATGCCCAGGTCTTATAGGAAGACAACATACCTGTAACCGCTGAAACACTCCTGATCGTAAGTCTCCAAAACCATAGTGGCACTGCAGTTTCAGAGCACTTTCAGATACCTCTTCATAGGGGAACTGCTCAATTTCCCAATTAAACTCTTCATCGTCATCTTCTCCTCCTTCCTCAGAAACTGCAGAAGTACCTAAGTTGTTAAATATTAATTTTTTAAAATACTGGAATTCCTAGGTACAACTTGGGAAAGAAAACATATAGGAAAAAATCCCTGCCTATGTTGCACCAAAGACAGGAACGACAATATGCATAGCCGCACAATTACTGATAGTTCCAAAAATGGAATCAACCCACAGATCCATCGACAATAGGATGTATAAATAATAAGCAATGAAAGCAATATATGAATTGCCATATATGAACAAATCTCATAAAAATGTCACATGAAAGAAGCCAGGAGGAGGGAGGGAGAAGTAACTGGGAGGAGATACCAGGTGGGATTCCAGGATGTTGGAAATGTTCCATTTCTTGATTTAAGTGATGTTCGCTTCATGTAACTCATTGAATTGTACACTTTTAATCTTAGCTTAAGTGGTCAATATTTTCCCAAAGATAGAGATGCTGTTTTAATTGGTCCAGAAACGTGACTGACCTACTGGTTCAACAGGGTTCTTTATATCTTTAAATTATATGTAACCAAATGATCTATTTTCACATGACCTCCTTATCTTGTCACCTGAAGCATTCTCTCCAATTTCCTATTTGCTATATCCCTTTCCCCCTAGCAACACATAGCATTCTTAATATTCTGTTTTTCTTTATTTCTTGCAACTGCAATAAACATACCTATTTCATCCACAAGTGGTTTTGCAGTCCTGTATTTTCTTGGTGCCAGAAGAGCAGTTAACATGTTCAGCCCCTCAAAATGCTGGCCAGGAGTTTCTTTGGGCAACTGAATGGTAAAGAGTCCTTAAAGATAAATTTGTTTTAGGCTTAGCAAGATTAAAATATTAAAGACTTCACAAATATATCTAAGAAATACATATCTTGTTAAAATATAATTCTATTTTATAAAGCTCCAAAATTATACCCTTATTGTAAATTTAATGAATAAAAATCAAAATAGAAAAAGGTTCCAATAAGGTTTTTCAGAACCACTGATTCAGTTGTCACCTCTACAAGAAATTAATCTGTTCAAGCTGCAGAATGTTTTAGTCTTATGCAGTGTCACCTTAACTATTGATAATATTAAGTCCAAGTCAAAACGTCTAAAACTCAATGGTTGAGAAGGTAATAGAATTAACCAGTCGCTACTTATAAATTTTATTCCTGGACTAGAGAGGCAAAAAGTTAGGCTATTTCATCCAATGAAGCTTCAAAAATATACAAATATTAAATAAAGCAATTATGGCTTCACAAAGTTCTTTGATATCTCAAAATATACATCCCTAAGGCAGACACAAATTCTATCTCTGTGCTTAGATTCTTTCCTTAAGTGGGCTTATCAACTTTATTTAGGCTCCCCTATGAACTGATTATATTATTTACTACTCTTACATTTGAAAATATTTTACCTCTTTCAGTGTAGTGAACCTTATCCTAATATATCAAATACAATTCAACCCAAATATTTTCACATATACTAGCTTCCTAACACCCTGTGTACCATTAAAATTTAATAACTTTGTTGTAATATGCAACCTATCTGCAATTAAAAATAGATTTACTACCTAGGAACACAGTTTCATTATATTTTATTATCACATTAATCACACTGCATTACTGGTTAGAACTTTGCCATTTAACTCTTTCATCCCATCTATCATCCCTTACCCTAGTTCACTGACGTCAAGAAATATTCACTGAAAATTACACAGGAGTACACAGTGTATTCTTATTCCATATCCCGTAACAAAGAAAAATCCAGAGACTTCTATAAAGGGAAAATAAATGGTTTCATGCCTATCTGAAATGAAGGACTTATCAATCATGAGAAGAAAATTCAATCAGCCTTTAAATGCCACCTGTGGACAGCTTCTCTCATACCTACATGTTATTAGATTTTAAGTTTGAAATTGTACAAGAAAGATTGGATTCACAGCTAAAATCACTCACATCTTTTACCACCTCACACATTCTTTTACTTTTAAACACTTAATAAATGTAGGGGAAGTAGAAAATAAAACTACTAGGAAATAGAACCAGTGTATTTAACTTTACTTGGAAGAATATTGTGAAATATATTAAAAGACTGAAGAAATTGCCATTGTTAAGAAATCCATAAACAACAGCACTGAACACTGTGAACAATAGAGTAGCAGGAACAGATTGCACTTGCAATACACCTAAAAGGTCCTTGCAGTATCTTGAAATGTAGTTACTCTAACATGAAGAATCCGAAGAACAAAACTAACAAAAATTTCAAAGTAAATACCTTTATCTGCATCATAGGACCCTTGCTCACTTCCATTTTCTATAATTCTTCCAGGAAGGGTTAATCTGCAATTTAATATAAAGTCTTATGAAGTTCTTAAATTACAAAGTATAATAAGTGACCATGAATGACAGTATACATTTACCTACTGAATCTATCAATCATTTTAGAAGGAAATCCTCCAGCATTTTTTAATATTTTACAAACTAAATAACTTAGATTCTTCCCTAGTTGAGAAAAAAGAAATCAGAGATGACTCATCTCTGTTTGAATACCCCCTAGTAACCAATAAATACTTAAAAAGAAAAGCCACAATAAATATTAGTTATCACTATTGTTATAGAGAACTTCCCCCTTCCTAATGAATAAGAGTTACTTATGTACCTGGTACCTGACACAGCAGATGCTCAATAAAAGTAGACTAACTGGCTGCCCAAAAAAAACCCCACAACAAACAAACCAAAAAATGGGAAACAATAAAGAAACAATAAAACCAATTGTTTGTATTAGACAACTTTTACTTAAAACAAAAGCAGAAAGCAAAAGTGTGGGTTTTTTTTAAATCTACTATATGGGGATTTCCCCTTCTTTCGTACTAAAAGAAATGAACTAATTTTCCTGTTTCTAGTTTTACCCTTGTTCAGTCAGTCTTCAACTGAGGCCCAAAAGAATTTTCCTAAAACAGAGGTCTGGCTGTCACTTTTCTATTTGAAAAAGTTTCTGTGGCTGCCCAACACTGACTTAGATAATTTAAATTCACCAGTATAGTATATCAAGTCGACATCATTCCATTCCAAACTTAAAATCTGAGCCTCTTTTCCTCCCATATCCCCTTCTCCCTTGCTTCCTACTCTAACAGGAATAATAATAATAATAACGACAACAACTTGGCAGACCCCAAAAGGCCCAGGGCTTCATAACCTAGTTACCTTTGATCCCAATGTTTCCTGGAGCTACAATGCATTTTCTGAACCAAGATACCTTCTAAACACAACATAAGGAATTAGTTTATGGATAAATTAGTTATAATTGGTACAAATACTAACTTTACTATCAGAATCTGAATTGAATCCCAGCTCTGCCATTTACCAGCTCTGTAACATCCCTTATACAAGTTTTTTAACTTCAATTTCAAGGCTCATAAACCTCATCTGTAAAAAAGGAAAAATTAAAGACTGTATCCCAGGGTTACTATGATAAGGAAATGATAATTAAACAGCTTATTTAGTGGCTGGTACAGTATGTAAGCATTCAAAAGACGTAAGCTATTAGAGGTCCAAGATGGCAGATTAGGTAAACACTATGCCTACTGCCTTCCAGGATCACAACAAAATTACAAATAAATTATTGAACAATCAACCTTAAGAATCATTTGCAGACCAACTGAACAAAACCCCTATAAATAAGAATATAAAGAGGCCACATCAAGACTGGTAGGAGGGGAGGAGATGAAAAACAGACTCACCCCAAACCCACAAATAGTAGTTGAACACCAGGAGGGACACCTCAGTGGTGGGGGTCTCCCTGGAAGAGGGATGGGTATCAGCCCCACCCAGCCCTGGGGTCCTCTGCTAGGAAGAGGAGTTCCTACAACATCTGGCAGTGAAAATCGGTCAGGACTCTGTCCATCTGGGTGAGACAGAAGGCAGCTGGAAACTTAGACACCCTCTTAAAAAGCCTGCATACAGATACACTCACTTGTAAACACTCGCCTGGTCTCTGGCGGAGGGGAAGCAACTTGAGAGGCACCAGAGACATACAGTGAAAGACTGAGATGTGTAGATTCATGGCAAGGGCAGGAGGGATAGGAGCCATTATCCCCCTATGGAGCCTGCCTCAAGTGTAGCCTATAGAAGGGCGCCATCTTTTCTATGTTGAACCCTCCTCCAAAGGGTCAAATCCAGGACCACATTCGTCTAGTGAAATCCACATGTGTGCACTGCCTTGGTGATGCTCTGGGTCCCTGCCCTGCATGGCTGGTGCTACATCGCCTAGGGCACTCTCAGCTCCTGGGTGCCAGCCCCATCCCACAAACCACAGAAGCCTTTTATAGCAGCAGACAGGCCGCAGAGGCCCAGGAACTGTTGGTGGTGGGCAGTGACCTAGACCCTGTGCTGCAGCCTGTCTTGGGCAGCTCTTGGTGATCTGTGAGCCTGAGGCAAGCAGTGGCCGGCTGCAGTGTTCTTGGGCTTTGCAAAGTGGTCACATGACGGCTGGGCGCTGGCGCAAGACCTGAATCTGCATTAACTTTGTAAAAACCACTGGTCACACCTCGTGACTCCATGGGACCCTGCCCACCACCCCAACCCCCAGCTAGTGCTACATCACCAAAGGCACTCACAACACCAGATCAACCAGCCTGGCCCACCCACCTAAGGAGCCTCTTTCAATAGCTGGGTCTTTCGGGTAGCTAGCAGGTGGTAATAACCCTAGGAAGCCCTGGGCCTTTTGCTAAAATGCCCCAGGCCTAATACTGGTGGCAGCCGGCCTCGGTTCACAGAGAAACCACCCCCACACACACATGACTCTAGGTTCAGCAGAGACAGCAACCAACCACATATAGCTTTGTAGTTCCTACCAGGTAGCCAGAGGCCAGTCACAGGCAAGGCTAAAATTGGCCTGCACGAAAGACACTCTTAAGAAGCACCAGAAACAACACAACCGGAAGCTGGCTTCAGACCACACCAGGGTCTAACCACTACCTGGTCAGACCCAAAAGCGGCACACCCAAACAGTGGTATCAACAGGCACAGGAGCCTGCAGGAGCGAATCCCCCACTGAGGGGTCAGCTCCCACACATCAGATCATACACTGTGGGTATAGCCAGTCCTTATAGTCAGTCATCCTAGGAGGCAATCCTACCCACTAATGTGCCAAAGCAATCAAGGCTCAACTACAACAGAAGAACACATACAAAACACTCAAGGGACAGTCCTGGAACACACACAGGAGATCAGGAAGATTGCTCCATTGGACCACGCAAGACACCTACTACATGAGGCCACCCAGCAAAGACTGAGAGACATAGGAGATCTACCTAATACATAGAAGCAAACACAGAGAGGCAATGAGAATAAGGAAATAAACAAACATGTCCCACATAAAAGAACAAGAAAAAAAACCCAGTAATGGAACTAAATGAAATGGAGGCAACCAACCTACCAGAGTCAAGAGTTTAAAACACTGGTTATAAGAATGCTGAAGTATCTTAGTGAGAATTTCAATGAAGAAATAGCAAACATACAGAAGGACATAGAAACCATAAAAAAGAAACAGTCAGAAACGAAGAATACAATAACTAAAATGAAGAATACACTAGAAGGAATCAACAGCAGATTAGATGAAGCAGAGGAGCAAATCAGCGATTTAGAAGACAAGGTAGCAGAATACAACCAATCAGAACAACAAAAACAAAAAAGAATTTTAAAAAATGTTTAAAAATGAAGGTAGTTTAAGGGACCTTTGGGACAACATCAAACATAACAACATTCGTATCGTAGGAGTACCAGAAGGAGAAGAAAGGGAGCAAGAGATTAAGAACCTACTTGAAGAAATAATGACTGAAGACGTCCCCAACCCAGTGAAGGAAACAGACATACAAGCCAAGAAGTACAGAGAGTGCCCAACAAGATGAATCTCAGCAGGCCCACATCAAGACACATCATAATTAAAATGCCAAAGGTTAAAGACAAAAAAAAAAATCCTAAGAGCAGCAAGAGATAGACAACTAGTTACTTACAAGGGAGCTCCCATCAGACTACCAGCTGATTTCTTAAAAAGACACTTTGCAGGCAGAAAGGAGTGACAGAAAATTTTCAAAGTAATGAAAAACAAAGGCCTACAACCAAAACTACTCTACCCAGCAAGTCTATCTTTTATAATTGAAGGAGAGATAAAGAACTTCCCAGACAAGAAAAAGCTAAAGGAATTCATTACCACTAAGCCAGTATTACAAGAAATGTTAAAAAGACTCCTTGAAGCAAAATAAAGAAGAAAACTAACAAACAAAGATAAAAAATATCAGTAATAAAATGACAATAACTATGTACATATTGATGATCACTCTAAATGTAAATGAATTAAATGCTCCAATCAAAAGACATAGGGTAGCTGAATGGATAAGAAAACAAGGCCCAATGCATATGCTATCCACAAGAGACTCACCTCAGATAGAAAGACACACACAGGCTGAAAGTAAAGGGATAAAAAAAATATTTGATGCAAATAAAAAGGAAAAAAAAGGTGGGGTAGAAATACTTAAATAAGACAGATTAGACTTTAAAATGAAGATAATAATAAGAGACAAAGAAGGATATTACATAATAATAAAGAAATCATTCCAACAAGAGGACATTACCCTAGTAAATATTTATGCACCCAACATAAGAGCACCTAAATATATAAAGCGAATATTGACTGACATAAAGGCAGGGATCAACAGTAACACAATCATTGTAGGGGACTTTAAAAAACCACTGACACCAATGGACAAATCTTCCAGACAGAAAATCAACATGTAAACAGCGGATTTAAATGACACACAAGACCAAAAGAATTATATTGAGATTTTTAGAGCATTTCACCCCAAAGCAGCAGAATATACATTTCTTTCAAGAGCACATAGAACATTTTCCAAGACAGACCACAAGTTATGCCACAAAACAAGTCTCAATAAATTTAAGAAGACTGAAATCATATCAAGTGGCTTCTCTTACTACAATGGTATGAAACTAGAAATCAATTACAAGAAAAAAACTGAAAAACACACAAACACATGAAGGCTAAGTAACATGCTACTAAATAATGAGTGGATTAACAATGAGATTAAGGAAGAAATCAAAAGATACCTTAAGACAAATGAAAATGAAAACAAAACAACCCAAAAACTATGGGATACAGCAAAAGCAGTCCTAAGAGGGAAATTCATAGCAATGCACGCCTACCTCAAGAAACAAGAAGAATCTCAAATCAACAGTCTATCTTTACAGCTAAGGGAACTAGAAAAAGAACAGCAAACAGAACCCAAAGTGAGTACAAGGAAGGAAATAATAAAGATTCAAGCAGA